GGCGGGAGGAGGGAAACGCCAAATGATCCGAACCATGCGGGTTCGTTTGATGGATGATCCGATGAGTGGGTACGGATTTGTGTGCATAGGCAAGCAAGCGAATCTCATCCATTGCTAGTACTGTTCCAAGGTAAAGACAATGTAGCTGTTTGTGTGTGTGTGTAAGATCGAATGAACGCGTGCACAGAAACACACACACGAGCGGACAATCGGTAGATCGATGTGGAATGCATCACATGATCATGACGAGCGATGAGAACAGCAACGGGGGGGATAGGCCTATTTACTAATTGATGCTTGTTTTTATTGTGTTGCACTGACGGTACACATGAAAGTGGCACATATACAAAGAGTTGCAATCTCAGTGATAGCATCCAATTCACGGACTACTCACTCCAATGATTGGATTTGTCGATAAACGACAGTTCTCTGCCACCAAGACTGTCATGTTAGATTGCGTGATAGAAATAATAACGTGAGTGCTGATAGCTAGATGAACATATCGAAACTGAAAGAACTGATATATATATATATATATATATATATATATATATATATGCAGGTGGGTGTTTCGGATTGTGACTGGTCACCATTCTCTTACACCTCGCGAAATGCTCCTGTATAACCCAACGCTTCAAATAGCCTCTGAGGATGAAGCCCTTACCCACTGCCTCCTCGTGGTGCAGGTGTTTTCCCACACCAAAGTGAAAGGACGAAAAGCCAATATCCGGGGGCGATAACTAGGTCAGTGAACCATTGGCAGTTCACTTAAGGGAGTTGGCTAAAAACCCTGGTTCCAAACAAACCAAAAACAGGCGTACGAGCCACACGCACACCTTCTGGTCGCGGTAGCGGTCACCGGCTTAATTGAGCACCAAGGTGTATTGGGCACGTTGAACGTCTGACCCCGTCCAAAGGGCGTATGATCCAAGGAACTGGACACCGGCCCCAAATGGACTGTGAGCTCCATCCTGTTGTCTTACAGGTTTGGCTTTCTAGCTAAAGGCTTCCGGTGGAGACCCCGAGGTTATCCCTCTTCGTCGGTTAGGGTAAAATGCCCACATAACATATGAACACATTCTACAGGTTGTTTTTTGTTCACATGTTGTGGCACATTTGCCAGTTCTCTGTAATTGGTTACGTGTTGAAATTTATAAAACAATTGATCAAGGCTGTGAGGTTCGCCAAAGTGCACATGAAATGGCCATCTTCCATAATGCTGCACTAGATGAGAAAGACAGAGCAGTTAACTATTTAGGGACTTATGCAAGGCAATCAGTCATGACCTCCACCTGGTCAATGAGGAAGGTGAGCAGGAGTTCGTCCAAAGTACCAACAAGACGTGGATTTAATGGCATCAAGGTGCTATAGTCTGCATGTAAAACATCAGCACTGTATACGTATATTAATGATGTGGACAATCAAGTGGTAATTGCCCCCCACACACACACTTTCGCCTTCCGTCTCAATGACCGGAAACACTCACCTGTGTGTCTCTTTGGAAAATCACAATTCGTCCACCCCGATCACCGGTAGCCAAGAATTCGCCAGTTTTGTCATATTCCACACAGGAAATAATATCGGCTGATTGAACAATGGAACAACGCACAAGTTCGTGGTGGTGAGAGAAGAAAAACGGTGAGAATTAGAACACAGGGTGACAGATACGAGAAAGGAAGTGAATGAATGGTTCAGTACTTGCACCTACCCTCTTCCTTCTATTTATCAATAATCTCCTTTTCCAAACTGTCAACCGATCCATTCTTTTGCTGCTGAAGCCACCCTCCACTGCTCCCCCTCTCCTACCGCACTGCTCACCATGCCCAAACCAACATCGATGGTGACCGCAATGTGTCACTCGACTCCGATCTCGAACACATCTCCTCCTGCGGCATTGCAGACCACATTTCATTCAATAGTTCTAAAACCTCTCTCTTTTCAATTTCTTTAAAACACCATTCATTCTCCTCCCATTTATCTTTTGATTCCACCCAACTGTTCCACAGACTCTGTTTCCTTCTCGGATTGCCTATAACTTCTTTATGCTGGTCCCCTTCTACAGCCAAGCTTGCTTCTCGTGCTGCGCGCAGGGTTGGATTTTTATTTCGAACCAGACGTTTTTTCACCCCAGCTCATCTTTTTCTATTGTACAAAGCTCAAATCCGCCCTGATCTTTAATACTAGTCACGTGTGGGGTGGGGCTTCGTCCTCTTCCCTTTCCCTTCTTAATCGTGTTCAACGAAAGGCCATCCGGCTAATCGATGATCCTTCCCTAACATACAACCTGCAATCGCTAACAAATCGTCGGGCAGTTGCTTGATTGTCCCTGCCCTACCATTCTCAGTTTCAGTTTGAACAACTATTAACCATGCACTTTCGTGCGCCGGTTTTGGTTGCTGTCTTTTGGCTGCCCATTGGGATGAAGAATAGGAGAAGAAAGGAAAGTTGAAAGTGGATTCGAAAGGAAAATGGAGAAGTTCAGTGGTCTAAGGTTGGAAAGAAATTGAGGAGATGCAAGAACGCCACTG